TCAGAGATAAATGGAAATCCTAAGTGGACCACTTTAAAAAGAGAAAAAAATTAAATTAAGCAATATTAGAAATATAGGAGTCAAATATAATGAAATTTAAAGCATTTCAATGTGAAATTATCAGGCAAAGGTGAAAAAATAAATATTTAAAAAAAATATTTTACAAAACTAGTTTCAGCAAGGCATATTCACACATTCACAAAAGATAAGAATTTTCTAGACATATTTAAACATTTTAAACATTATGGTAGAACTCAGTATAAACTTGAGACATAAATCCTTCAAGAATTGGCTTAACATACTCAGGACCTACATGTTTCGAAAGAAACCTGTGCATAGCCTGGTTAATGTGAATATGACATAGATTAACAGGTACATTTGGAAACAGATCATTTATAGCAGAGATTTCAGCAATGTCTTTGTCAACCACAAAGGACTTGAAAAGACTGGAATCAGAATTCTTCAGAAGACGCTGCAAACAAAGAGAAATAGATTCCGTATCTTCATTTTTTACAAAACCATGAAGAACAGGAATGCCCCTGCCCTCTCCATCAATAACCATTACAGTCAAAAGTGGATATAAATATTTATTGGTTTTATATGTGAAATCCATGAATAAAACCTCTGGATATTGGGCAATAATTCTAATCATATCATGAGTCATGTATGATAAATACTTAAATTCCCCACTTTCTGTTAGTCCATACGACACACTTCCACCAGCTTGTGATATAGAATGAAGTATAGATTGAGTTTCAGTTGCATCAGAAGATGATTTATTTATTCTTGACTTAATATTGTAAATATCCCTGGGGAGCAAATCCACATCATGCTGTTCTTCAAGCACTTGCCGGACCTCAGATTCCTGAATCGTGGTGCAGGACATCAACAGATGCGTTGCCGAATTTAGTTCCACTTTGCGGTTTTCAGGATACAAGCGGCACATCTGGAAAAAAACACACAAAGGTTACATTGCAATAATAAGTATTATGTAAAAAAATATGCCCTGCAAACATTATTATTATTATTATTAGTGGTCTTATAAAATGTTCCCATCTCACAGACGCCGCGCAGCAGTTTTGAGTATCCGTGCAGCAAATTTATTTATTCTTGACTTAATATTGTAAATATCCCTGGGGAGCAAATCCACATCATGCTGTTCTTCAAGCACTTGCCGGACCTCAGATTCCTGAATCGTGGTGCAGGACATCAACAGATGCGTTGCCGCATTTAGTTCCACTTTGCGGTTTTCAGGATACAAGCGGCACATCTGGAAAAAAACACACAAAGGTTACTTTGCAATAATAAGTATTATGTAAAAAAATATGCCCTGCAAACATTATTATTATTATTATTAGTGGTCTTATAAAATGTTCCCATCTCACAGACGCCGCGCAGCAGTTTTGAGTATCCGTGCAGCAAATTTCCCTGTAAGTGTGTGTTTCTGGACTGTAAAATTTTGCATACAAAAAAGTTGATGCTGTAAAACTTTGCACATAACTGTATGATTTTGCACACAAACCAACAAGGCTTAGAGGGAACGTTGGTCTTATATAGTGCGGTGTACATAAAAATAACTAACCTTCACCTTGGGGATAAATGTTTTAAGTTTATTATATGTCACAATAATCACAAAGTTTCTAATTCTATGGTAAGGGTGATAACCCTAACCTTAACCTAAAGTTTTCAATGATAAAATTTCTGAGTGCCCTAGATTGAGTGGGTTAATGAATGGTACAAAACATTCTTTTAAATGCATCCATCTCTAACTCTATAGTACTAGTGTACCTGTAGGTGAAACAACCTGCCACAAGAATATGCTATTATTATTATTATTTTGTCTAAATATTTTTCGCAGCACATGCACTTACTTCTTTTGATACTTCATGGCCAGTATATTCAAGCATTGATTTGGTCATTTCTAGCCGAGATGGATTTCTCTTGGCAACAAGCTTTAACTTTATCTTTGCCTGGCATCCCAATTTGAAAGAACTGAAAAATATAAAAATTCTCAACGAATTGCCACAAGTGATAAGGGCTAATGTAGAGCACGAATGCCACGGTGTCATTTGCTTCTTTATTATAGTTGCAGTGAATTAGGGTTTAGGTTAGGTTGAGGGGTCGATTTAGGGTTCAGGTTCGGTTAGGCATAGGTAGATACTTCGATAAAACAAGGGAGACTACTACTTTTTTTGTATCGGAAATGGGCGTCGGCGCCGAAAAATCCTAGTTTTTAATTTTCCGATGTGTGTGTCTATTTATTATTAAATTAGTTCTTTGGACATATATTTGAGTTCCGTTTCCGGCCTTATAATTTGGAAGACATCTTGGCCTACATTTCCATCCAACTATTTTGCTTTTTCAATCGACCTTTATTTTGGAAATCTTTGGTATATATAAGGCATCTTCGCATGCAAAATTTTTTGTGAAATATAAAATACAGGTCTTTCATATTAAATCGTGTAAGGCATCAGATATTGATATATATCTGTGCCAATTCTCATTGATGTAGGTCGTGTCCCACGTTCGCTACGCTTCTCCCAGTGACCCATATCACCATAAGGGGGCTCCGCCTTATTTCGACATGGCGTGGGCCACGCCCCCTTTTTAATGGCGGAAGTTGCCGATACTTAAGAAATATTTAATTATTACCACTATATACATCAAAATATTTGATAACTTGTGTTTCAGAATGCATTTTGAAGACATTTAAACTGGAATGTTTTAATTTGAGCTTTAAAAACCCTGTAGAGTCCATATTATAAATGATCAGAAATTTCCGTGTGCAACACGTTGTCATTGGCAACCATTCACAGCCACTTGCATAACGGCTATATCGTAGTACTATCTCAGAGTTTCATTCATAAGTGTTTGCCGTGTGCAAAAACTATTAAACCATTGGTCAGGGAAAGCTTTAATTAATTATTCATGTGCCAAAGTTGAAAGTTTAAAATAAATCGACCCTAAACAGTATTTTAGTGATAAGGGAATGCCTTAGCCTTATATAAACTATATAGTCATTGCGCATGACGCGATCGGCGGAATGAGGTCACAGAATGTGGAGATGCAGTCCATGTTAAAAAAGGACAAACCAAGTCGTACTTTAAAAATTCATAACTTTAAAACTACAACAGCTAAAAATATGATTTTGGTGTTATAATTCTGTTTAAAATTAGCTCTATTCAACTGTGCCATTGGTTTATTTTTAAAAAAATGTTTACATTTTTGACCAAAGTATCTAGGCATAGGGATCGATTTAGGGATACATTAGTGACTCATTAGTCGCGGCCATCGATATAATAGTGGCATTCGTCCTCTACATTTACCGTGGTAAGACTCATTGGCTTGGACAAAGAATTATTACATGACATTCCAAATAAATTTAAAGTTAACCTATTATCATTACTTTATTACTACGCCTTTGCCTTTAGTGCTTTAGCTTGTTATTTTCTTTGGCCTGTTGTCGTTGAAGACTTTGACTTGCGTTTAACTCCTTTTTTACAGCAGTGAATTGTACATTCATATTTAAGGTGTTCCAAATTGGGATCTTTCATCTTCTCTGGCGATCTTTTAGTGAAACACACATTGTGTTCTTTACAAAAATAATTCAATTCGTCTTCAAAAGACGCATAGGTGTCAAATATGCTGCCAACCTCCATTTTTATAAAAGAAAGCGCAGCAAACTTGTCGATTATTAAGCCTCTGGTTCGGATCATGTTTTTTTTCGATTACTAAGACTTTCGGGTGCGAATAGTCATTGGCGCCGATGGGTACTCGGGTACTTCGATAATACATTAAAGACCTCACGCACCAGCTGGGTCCGAATAGCTATTTGCTACTATAGGTACCCGGGTACCTATAGCCACTCCGATTTTCAATACTAAGGATGTGCCACATAATTACACCTTTTCACCATCTGTATTTTCAGTCCCTTCATTTATGTATTTTCAGGGTAGGGCCTACAGAAAATCTGATTAATGCTTAGCCAGATGACGTAAATTTACGTGAGCATCTCGCATTTTTCTCTCCGATAAAATGCATAATAATCTAAAACAAAACAAAATTGAGGTAGCCTATACACCAAAATGCATATCTGCATTCCAAATTTAAAAAAAAAATGTTCTGATTTTCTGGGGAGGGGCTCACCGACCCTGGGCACCTAAGTCGTTCGCTTAATAAAGATAATATATTTAGGCTAATTTAGGGTCTCTGAAAGCCCTAATTTAAATGCCGTAATTATTATGCCCATTCAGGAGACTGTGACCCACTAATGGAAACAAAATTGCACTTAGTATTAGTTAATTTAGTCCTACTTATTCTGGAAACTATTGTTTGAGTTCTCACCATTGCAGATCCAATATTTAATTAAAGGCAGGTGTTAAATATATTATTGCTGTTATGATTGACTAATTAATTTATTTTTAAAGAAAGGATATTTTCTTATTTTAAAAATAAATTATTTCTATCAAATAATAATAATACTTATAATCTTAAATATCCAAGATCATATTAATATCGTAGTAATTAAAATTCAGGGTGGAAAAGAAATACGAAATTTCTAAGCGTATTTTGGGTGATTGGTCTAAATCTGTGCTTAAATTAACACAATTGACTTCCGCTTTCAAAATGGCTACCGAGGCAACAGAACTTACCGTTTCTCCTAATTTAGCTGGTGTCCCTCATGTTGACTTTCTTGTAAGTATTTAAACGTAAACAAATAAGCGTTTTAATGGGAATAAATGTATCAATATATATTTTTTAAAAATGTGTATTTCTACTCTCTTGTTAATTAAAAAATAAATACCAAAAAAATAAATACAATGACTATGGCTATGGCTAGGTACTTCGGTAAGTCAAGGGAGACTACTACTTTTTGTGTATGGGATTTCGCAATCGGCGCCAAAAAATCTGAGTTTTTAATTTTCCGATGTGTGTGTCTATTTATTATTAAATTAGTACTTTCGATATGTATTTGAGTTCCGTTTTCGGCCTTATAATTAGGTAGACATCTTGGCCTACATTTTAATCAATTTCTTTTTCATTTACAATAGGTACTTCGGTAAGTCAAGGGAGACTACTACTTTTTGTGTATGGGATTTCGCAATCGGCGCCAAAAAATCCGAGTTTTTAATTTTCCGATGTGTGTGTCTATTTATTATTAAATTAGTACTTTCGATATGTATTTGAGTTCCGTTTTCGGCCTTATAATTAGGTAGACATCTTGGCCTACATTTTAATCAATTTCTTTTTCATTTACAATCAGTCAGCTTTGAGAAAATCCTTGGTAAATATAAGGCAACTTTCATCATTAAAATTAAGTCGAAGGAAAAAATTTGTCACTACCAAATTTTTTTTGCATCTGGGGAATCTATTGATCTACATGTATGCCAATTTTCACAGCGATAAGTGTCTTACGAGAGACGCTATGTTTCTGCGCGTTCGCAGCAGGTCATGCAGCTCGCTCAACCTAATTTCGTCATGGGGTGGGCCACGCCCCCTTTGTAATGGCGGAAGTTGCCGATACTTAGGAAATATTAATTTATTACCACTATCTACATCAAAATAATTGATAACTTGTGTTTCAGAATGCATTTTAAAGACATTTAAACTGGAATGTTTTAATTTGAGCTTTAACAACCCGGTAGAGTCCATATTATAAATGATCAGAATTTTCCGTGTGCAACACGTTGTCATTGGCAACCATTCACAGCCACTTGCATAATGACTGTATCGTAGTACTACCTCAGAGTTTCATTCATAAGAGTTTGCCGTGTGCAAAAACTACTATACCATTGGTCAGGGAAAGCTTTAATTAATTATTCATGTGCCAAAGTTGAAAGTTTAAACTAAGTCGACCCTAAACAGTATTTTAGTGATAAGGCGATGCGTTGCCTTATATAAAGTATATAGTCATTGCGCATGACGCGTTCAGCGGAATGAGGTCACAAGATGTGGAGGTTTCGTCCATAGTAAAAAATACCAAACGAACTCACACTTTAAAAATTCATAGCTCAAAAAGTACTTAAGCTAAAAAGTTGATTCTGGTTTCATTTTTTTTATTTGAAATTAGCTCTAACTAACTGTGCTATTAAAAAAATTATTTGAATTTTTTTAAATTTTGTATCCAAGTGCCTACTATGGCATGGGGAGAAACTAAAAAGTAAAAAGCAGTAAAATAATAATTTAAATAATAATAGTTAATAATAATAATTAAAAGTACAGTTGAGTAGGCATGAAATTATTTCTGGTCTAATTTTTACAAATTACTGACGGTCCATAAATTAAAAGATGGTTGGCAACACTTCCCCCTAGATTCTAGATACATTACTAAAATTACTTTGTTTTTTATTGGTTGTGATTGTGATTCTTGAAAGTTGAAGACAATCACTCATAATGAAATGTAACTTATAAAAATTGATCAATTATAATTAATTAAACATTAAGTCCATTTGTTAAATTATTATAATTAACATTGTTTCAAGAATCACGACCACGCATAAACGAAGTAATCCATCTAGGGGAAGTGTTGCCAACCATCTTTTAATTTATGGATAGTCTATAAATTTTAAAAATTAGACCAGAAATTTCATGCCTGTTCTCAACTGTACTGTAAGTCATAAGAACTATATAAGTCAAGTTGTTATTACTATTATTAGTATTAGTAAAAACATGCAACATTTAATCTACACAATGTTTTGAAGTGAAAAAAACAGGATAGCTGGCAAAAATTGTAGCCCATGCCAGACTGCCCCCCTCCCTCTCTCGCCAATGGGTGGGGCACTGGTATCTTTATAACTATAACAAAGTTCAGTTCAGCGGCCATGGTAAACCCCAGCCCTATTATAACTATAAAAATAATGAGAGAAAAGGTAACACATATCACATTTGATTTTGGGTTATTAAAAAATATTTAAAATTTTATTGTTTGGTTTGTAAGATGAAAGTTGGTATCCAATGAAAGATTTCTTTGTCTTACAAACCCAACAATATTTTAAAAAATTTTAAAATAAAAAATTGTTAAATAATGTTTAACAGCTCAATTGTTCTTTTTTTCATGTAGTTAAGTCACAAAATAGAACTGATTTTTATTTATTTATTGTTTGGAAACTAACATTTGTGAGCAAACCGGGTTGAATTGGTTTAAGTCCTTCTGAAAAGGTTCTTGAAGTACCGGTTATCAGCATGCTACAACCTTTTCTGTGTTCTGCACCTCTTAATAATTTTTTACTTGTGTAGGGACATATTGATGAAGAAATTTATTTAAAAGGAACTTTTATATTACAATTTAATATTCAATCTAGGTAAGGAAACACTGTTATGGTTAATACCTATTTTTAATTTATTATTTATTGACCCCTTTTTTTATACACTTAGGAAGATGTGGATGAGTTTATGAAAAAGTCTGATAACGAAACTGCAGAATCTGTTTTAAAGAAGCAAGAGGATCTTCACAACAAATTTAAATTTATGGAATATAATTTGAATCTTAAAAAGTCCAGGTAAAACGTAGTATAATATTTTTATTGTGGCATTTTATTTTTCCTAATAGTAATTAGATTTAATATCCAATGTTTTCTTTGCTGTGTGTTTTGAAAAAATTGTTAGTTATGTTAAAGTAATACGGTAAATAAAAAATTTTCTCTCAAGTATATGTGTTGGTATTGGTAATATTAATTTTAAAAGGGAAAGGAGATTCAGATTGCCATATCCATACAGAGAATTTATTATAAAAACAATTATGATAGGCATCACAAGAGACCAGGTTTATTTAGTTGTAATTTTAACTTTTATTGAAAAAATCAAAATTAAAATGACCATATTTTTTTTTTTTTGGTTCTCTTTTGAAATATATTAATTTCCAAATGATATAGGCAATTTAAGTATTTTAATATTGATGATAAAGCAAACATCAGCAGCTTGCTTCAAGCTTTTAAATTTATTAGCTCAGTCACCTCTTCAAATAGCTGCTGCTTGATATGGTGAATGCTAATTTTCTTATGGTATTTACCAATAGAAATGGAGTGGGGGTAGTAATTAACCATACAATCGGTATCAGGTAGGCTTTTGTCAAGGTTGACGACCTTCTGTAAATTTATGGACAGTCTGTAAAAATTTTATATAAAATGACTTGTCCTTAGGAACTATTTTGAATGTAAACAAAATTGAAACTCTCAGTGGTTGTGAAACTTCTTGGTTGTTTAAAAATTGTTTGATCATAAGCAAGAGAAATTAGCCACCGACGATAATGCTACAAATATATGTTCTTTTAGAGAAATACACATAGTCATATGCCAAAGCCATGGATAATTTAATTTAAATCCAGTTTTAACAAATTTATATTGTGTTAATAAAAATGTGATTATCCTTAAAAATTGTGAATTTTTTTATATATTTGTCATTTAATTATTATTATTTAGGTGGTGACCCTGGCATTGTCCAATAACTTGACATTTTTTTTGTCGTCACCCCCCCATGTCATCGTTAAGCAGTGGTCAGCAAACTTTTTCAACCAGCACTGGTACCCAAAATATGTTTGTTTATGCCAACGCTACCCTTCTTGATTTGAATGGAAGAAAATCACAAACTATTTAGATTCAAATGGATTATTAAATCTTTTTATACAGAGATTAAAATTACAACATACCGGGGTATTTATAAAAAGTACAAAATAAATTTGATATGATGAATTAATAAGTCCTCATTATGTAACCAAAGGATTTCGTTGAAAATATTTAAAAGTTTGTAGAAATGTTTAATTTTGATACAGTAACATCAAAGTTTGGGCTTTTTATATCAGAGCAATTTGTAAACCGTCTTTGAAGTTAAATAATTGATTGATGCTTTGTTTTTATGTTCATTAGAATGAAAAATCCTTGTTCGCAAAGGTAGACTGTTGCAAAAGAGAGCAACTTTTTGACCTCCTTCTGACAAATTTTGAAAGTCTAGGCGTCTCTTGAGGTTTTTAGCATAGGCAGTATCTTCAGTAGGGGTTGCAGTTGTGGTAACACTCTCACAAGTTTGATGACATCCTCAAACTCAAAGGGGAATGGCACCAAATGTGAAATAGTAAATTTGACAGAGCTCAATAAAGTCGGTTTCATTTCAATGTTGCACAGGCTAGATAGAGTGTTGCTAATAGTGAAATAATAAAAAGGAACATAATTTTGTGTCTTTTGATCCCTCATTACCCCTTAGATTTTCACTTTAACCCCTTTTGGGGTAATTTACTCAGGTTCTCCGTGCCCCTGCCTTAATGTTAATGGCTTTATTTGTTGTTATTCATAGCAGTTTTTTGGTTTATTATGTTTTATAACCTTCAAAGTATTTTTAAAAATTTCAGATTAAAAAATCAAATTCCAGATATAAAGAGCTCATTGGACATCATCAAGCACTTGATGCTGAAAAAGGTTCTTCTCTTAAACTTAAAGAAAACACAGATTTAAAAAATCTTAAATATATATCGCTAAAAAGTATAGAAGTATCCACATCTCAGAATGATATTGGGATAATTAATTTATGGTGATGTTGCAAAATATAGCAACCGATAACCCATCCTTTTGATACATACATTTTTTAACCCCTGTTACTCAATCTTTTTGGCTAAGTTGGTAAACTTCATTTTTTAGGGTAATGTTTAATAATACCATCTATGTCCTCAGCATTGAATACATTTTTAGGGTAAGGTAAAAAAAAAAGAATAAAGGTCTTTGTTCTACTGTATTAACAAGACATTCAGTTAATAAATAATTTGCTTTTAAATATTTTATCTGCAGAATAATACAGATCCTATGTCAACACGTTTTTTGTTGTCGGACAACGTATATGCAAAAGCCACAATACCACCAACAGAAAAAGTGTGCCTTTGGCTTGGGGTAAATATTTTACCACCTTTTCAATGTCAAGTTTTTCATTCCTAATCCTAACAGCATGAATATTTTCAGCTTACCCGGCGTATTATTCATCACCATTGTAAATATATGACCATCAAACTTGAGAGTACAGTTATAATTATAATCAAGGTAAACTACCAAACAGAGTTCAAGGTCACATGGTCACTCTCTCAACATAAAAAATTATTTTCATGAATCACAAAAACTTTTATTTATTCCATTCTTCAGTTTTAATGTTTTAGGGAGATCTGTGAAGTTATTTAAAAAAATTTTTAAGTTTTAATATTTAAAAATGTATCCATTTGTTTTACATAAAAACAAAGCCTGTTCCATGTTTTAACATCTTAACTGATTGATTTTTTTCTTAACTGGCGGAGCTTTAAACTTTAATTGATAAAAGCTTATATGATTTTGTGCTTTGCTTGCTATGACAGTATAATTCTCTGATAAAGAAACAAACTTTGTCAAAGAAATAAAAAAGATTCATCAGATTAATCTACTTTTTAACCAGACATTTTCATTGTCAGTGTCTATAAACTTGTCATTAACCATATCAATTATCAACTAGACAGGATTTTATTACCTGTGTGCTCAGTAAAAATAATTGAACATTATTTTCAATTAATCCAATTAAAGTTAAAGTTTTGCTGGGATTAAAAGCATATGAGATAGGTACAATTCAGGAAAAATTTGACATGTTTGCAATGCATTTCTTTATTTAAAAAAGAAAATACCCTGTACTGTAACAGGGCAAAAAATATAGCTCACTTTTTATATATTAGCAGTATTTAAAATTTTATTTAATGTATTGTATGTGTTAAATAACTGTATATGATTTTATTTTTTTCCTTCAATTTTGTCTATGGAGAACAGGCTAATGTAATGCTTGAATATGAGATTAATGAAGCTGATGATGTGTTGATGAAAAATCTAGATGCTGCCAAAAAGTCTCTTAGTCAAGTAGAAGATGACCTGTTGTTTATTCGTGATCAAATGACTACGTTGGAAGTCAGTATCCTTGTTAAAAAATTATTAAGAATTACCCATCTTCTTTTTTTCATTGGGTACCAGTATCAGTAATATATTGCAAGTTTTCTGGCTAATCATCAATCGACATCTATCATTTCATTCATTCTGTTTTCTATTCTAACAATTCTAAAATGGCCTTAATAGTTTTATTGGGAACATTAATTTTCGACTGGTTTTCTTCTTCTTCCCTGAATTTATCAACAGCTCATTTACAGTTGGTTCCAAATGTTTATTTTTACAGTGTTACAGTTATAGTTACATTATTATAGACCATTTCCTCCTCTATCATCAGCCGGGTTACTATTAACAGAATTTCACTGTATTAGTTTATTTGTAGGCAGCAAGAGAATATTTTTATAAATCCTCCACTTTTTACATTCTGGTACTGGTAGATGTAGTAAGATCCTTTAGAGGTTGTATATCAATTTTGCATAGCACTCCCAATGCTTCCAGGATAGATTAGAAAATTATTTTTGTAGTTATAAATATCATTTTCTGAGTTCAGTGAGTTCAATATTTCAAATGCAGGGGATCTATTCTCTGAAAATGTTTTTTTTGTGTGGAATTTTTCTAGTAAATATCTCACACTCCTTATCACAGTGGTTTTCAACCTTTTTCTATTGTTCATTTAACATTTTAAAGCATATTTCTACTGCTCATTTGGATAATTTTTATAATGGGCTCTGTACATAAAAATCAGGCCATTAAAATTAAATTCCTGAAACATTTCATGTCTTCTATCTTGACACTTTTTCATTACTAGATTTGATCTGGGTGAGGGGGGATACTTGAGCGGGGAGCTGGTTCTACGCCACATTACATGCTACTTTAACTTAGCTGTGACCACAAAGAATGTTTAAGCCCCTTCTCAAAATATGGATTAGTGTAAGCATTTTTCCTATTTTTATTCTGTGTGTAGTTGTAGAATTTCTTTTAAATGGCAGTAATTTTATTGAAAGAAAAAAAATTCAATTTCATAAATTAAATACGGGTACCCAGAAAAATATTTAACTATGAATATGAAGGGCATAGAAATAGAAACATTTAGTTTCAAGGCAATCTGTATGGTTGTGTATAGAATCATGATCTCACTCAAAGTTGCATTGAAACGACTTGATACACTCATCATGGAGCAGTAATGGTGCTAGCTCTAAAATTGTTCATATTTTAAATTGAAGCCTTAATTAGGGGCCATTCATATGGGGTAGTAATAAAATAATATTTTTTCATTGCACCCCTCCCCCCAATGGGTGCGTATCTGTACAAATAAACTTTATAACACCCCTTCCCCCCCTTTGAAAAAGAAAGAAAATTAAAAGAAAGAATTGTATTTTTTTTTAGAGACAACATATGACAGTTTTAAAAATGTTTTTGTTGTAACACAATGGTCCTGCAGCAAAATATTACACAATTTCCATAATTCTATTTTAATTGTTACAAGACAAACCATCGGGTTGGAGGTTTATCTAACCCAGGCCTGCACAACTCAAAATGTAAGACGGGCCTCTTTACTTTATGAAAATTCTTGTGTGGGCCAAAAGAAAATAGGACAGAGGGGGAAAGCTATTAAGAATATAAAAGAATAAAAAATATTTCGTTACTTCGCGGGCCTCAAAGTGGGTGCTGGCGGACCCCATGCAGCCCGAGGGCCGTATGTTGTGCAGGCCTGATCTAACCCATCACAATTTGACATACTGCAACTTGGATTAGGCTGGGTCGCAAGGAATTGAAAAAGTTTAAAAACTACAGGCGTAGCTGAACACAAATAGCAAAAATCTCCTAAACCAACACCCTCCACTCCCTTACTTATACATATGTATTACATGGATGGCCTTATCATCACGTATATCAACACTTCCTAGCTGAAATGGTGCAAATATTGGACTCAATAAGAATGTTGTGAATTTCAGGGAAGTTTTATGCAGTATTTATCACATCTTCTACAGAGTTCCAATTAGTGTCTTTTCAATGTTACTAAAACTAATGATTATTATAATTTATTTTTTTTACTATCCTTAACATTAATCAGATATGGCTCGTGTTTACAACTGGGATGTAAAACGTCGACAAGCAGAAAAAGTTGTAAAATCCTAGTGTGCTTTTTATTTGCCTCTGAAATTTCATTACTATAAATTTTGCAGCCATTTTTTGCTGGGCATGGACTTGGTAAAATAAAAATTAAGGAGGATCTTAAATATTTTTTGTGTTCTTAACTTAAGTCATTTTGTATTTTTTAAAGGCTTTGTTTGATTGCAAATTAAATATCTTTGACAAAAAATATAATTTTGATTTCTTCTTTTAGCAATAAAAAATTGATAGATGTTTGTGTTACAAGTCCACATGTTATAGTAGGGTGCTATTTCGATAAATTGCTTTTTAAATATAACATACCACATCTTTTAAATTTAATTTAAGGACAAGCAAAATTTGATTCGATATTTCATCTCATTTACTGATCACAAATTTAATTTGTAAAACCATGGCTAATAACATGTTAAAGATGTTTAAATAAAATCTGCATCAGAAGTGGTCATTAGTATTGTAGTATTAGCATAAATCTTCACGTAGAACGCCCAGCTTTTAGATATTATTGCATCCTTTGATGAGAATTTTAGTGCTAAGTCTTCAAAAAAAAAAAGTTACTGTCTTCATTTTATTTTGTACCAGTGACCAGTATATATTAATGATCACTGTCTTGGTGTTAAATGCTTTCAATTGCGTGAAATTTCCTTTCATTTTTTTAAAAAAAAATACAATAATTTTTATAATTTAAACAATTAATTTTTGAAATTTTGGTACTATTTCATACACTTGCTCTAAAGCCACGCTGGTCAAAAGCTTGGACGACGGGAAACCACCCCCAGCCCCCCCCCCCCGGTCGGAAATGCCTGAAAAGTGTAAAGCCGGCACATTAGTCGACCCCATAAAATAATATGTAAATTTCCTTTCATTTTTTTAAAAAAAAATACAATAATTTTTATAATTTAAACAATTAATTTTTGAAATTTTGGTACTATTTCATACACTTGCTCCAAAGCCACGCTGGTCAAAAGCTTGGACGACGGGAAACCACCCCCAGCCCCCCCCCCCCGGTCGGAAATGCCTGAAAAGTGTAAAGCCGGCACATTAGTCGACCCCATAAAATAATATGCCAGTATAAATAATAACAAACTTTAAAAATAATTATTAAGTAAGAGACTTAAAAACCTTTAAACATACAGTATAATTATAATAGTATAATAGACTGGAAATGGCTTCATGTGTCTAACCATGATGAACATTCAAAAAAAAAGATGACTGCCCTTGGAAAGAAATATGTGGTCGCCTCTTCTTTGGAAACATTAATTTTTTTATTATCATCATCATCATCAATTAATTTTTTTTAGTATGGGTAACAGTAGTTCACATTTTAGTGACAGCAGTCTGTACTGTAACTGGTATTAAATATAGGTCAGGTGATGTCTTCTCAAAATAGATTTCAACTAATGCTACAATCTTATAATATGACATTGTTACAATGCAGTGTGAGAATCCAAGCCTGTCACCCAATTTTCCACAGCACTTGACAGTGACTTCACTCAATTAATTTTTTTTCACTGTACATTGATTAAATTTAAAATAGTTAATTCAAAATACCAGTACCTAGAAATTTTTTTTAAAAATCCCGTGACCTGCTCATGAGCCAATCACCCCACTTATTCCCTTAAACATTTCCCCCAAAAGTTGGCTTTACATTTTAGAACAAGTTATCCAGTAAATTTTCAGCCTATTTAGGTATACCTGAACCTGTCTACACAAAAAAGTGAGGAGTACCGGTAATTTTTTTTTCATGCTTAACTATTGTCAGATCTTACATCCCTCATTCAAAAGAAATACAAACTAAATTTTAAAAAGTAAAACATGAGTGACCAGGTTACAAGAAAACATTTTTATAAAAGATAATAGTGGTGGTTTTTATTACCACAATTAAAAAAAAAAAAGTTTGCACTTGGTATGCATCTTGATTTGTAACAGGAGGCTCCTAATTTTCTGGAACATCTGGTTCTATTGGTGGTTCTAATTGCTGGATCTGTAATGTATAGAATCAGAAACAAATTATTATACCTGTACTTCTAGGCCAGTGGTCAGTAAACTCATTAGTTAAAAAAGCCAAAAATCAGAAGCAGGACAATTAAAAAATTTTTGAGAGCTAAATTTCTTTTCAAGAACCTGTCAAGAACCATGTTTTTCTGAGTCAAAAATAATTTGTGGCCGAGTCGCACAAAGAGCCGCATGGGCTAGCGCTGCAATTTGCCGACCACTGCTGTAGGACATTAATTTAAAAAATAGACCTAGCTAAAGTTACTTAAGGTAAATTTCGTTATATTCTGGATTCATCATTATATATAAATATTTTAACTAATATTTGTTGAATCAATTATGTGGATGTAAATTACTCTACAAAATTTCCTGTCTGCACATGTAATCACTGCAAGTATTAAATTGTTAGTATGATAAAATGAAAACAAAACACATCTGCAATCTACTAATTCTAAATAAAAAGTCATCATATAACATAATCATTATCTTTTATGTTTTATTTATGGTAATATTTGGTTAACAGTTCTCCATATATATATATAATACAAGTAACGGTACATGGGAGGAAGAAATATAAAATTTGTATCATTTTACAATGTCATTGTCATGATTGAAATGATAAAATTTAATTCAAGATAAAAAAGGCATTCATTAATTGAAATACGATAGCAGAATTGGCCCAGAGCGCTTACTGATTGACTAAGCATCAGCCGAAATGTTTGAATTAGTATGTGGTCTTATCATAATTATTAATTTAAGTTTTAACATATACTGTTTTATTTACAGAAATTGTTTGTGTCTCATAGAGAGCTTGTTTACATAATATTTCTCGTGCGTGCCCTCTGATTGACCCCGCATGAGACGCTGTGTTCACAAAGGGGTGTGGCTTAGGCCTTTGAAGTATCGTGTTTACAATCGGCTTCCAATTACGCATTGGGTAGAATGTCACCGGGTAATTTCTCGAATCTACTCCTTAACCCGAGGTATGTAAACAACACGTAATAGGTATTTCTGGAAGCGTCTTACGCTACATGTATATAAGGATTTACAGATACAGAGAAGACGGAGATTTTTCAGATAGATTTTCTTAACATTACGAGGCGTGTTTTATTCTTTGTGTATTTGTGTGCTCATATGTGTTTATTTCGCATTATTTATTGGCATCATTATTTCTAATTGTATTAACTGTGTACCGGTACGAGATCCACCATACTGTAAGTTGAAGATTGTGATTTTATTTTCTTTCGTAATTATCTTTAGACATAATAAATCTTAATTAATTGTAACTAGAAACTGTTTTGGGTCGTATCTTTAATATTGTTGATTCTGTGGTATCGTCCTTTGTTAGGCACTGATTACAACGAGCCAATTAAAATTAAAATAGGAGATTAATTTCTCCCAATACAAGTCAGTGCGTAACAGTCTCATTAAGAGTGTTGAAACATGATAAAACGTTCAGGTAGATTAATGAATTAATGAGAGCACAAAATGTGTGTAAAAAAAATATAGGTTAAGCTTTAATTGTGGTTACACAGAATTCAGTGAATTCATAGTTATCATAATGACAGAGATCTATTACAGTTTACTATTCTGTATCCAATTTTTGTGTGCGACTCTTTAGAAAAAAATATTCAAGCATGATCCAGTTTTTTCAAAAGATATCAGGTCATTAAAAAGTAACAATACTACAAAGAAATGAGATCAAATTTAATTCAGAAGTAAGCATCAGGTGCCTCAGGCAGAGATGTGGAGCAAGATACTATCCTTATATTAGGTAGCCTAAGCAAAAAAAGTCAAATTTTCATAAAAATTGAACCCATACAGTTTTGTACTTGTACACATGCACATATAGCAGTACACAGTCACCTGTCCCAATTAAAAGAAAATCAGTGTAAGCCATGTTAAAATGTATGTTGCGATAGCTGGACATTTTGCGTATTGGTAGTGAAAATAATCTTTGGTTCAGCTTAGAGGTCCGCAACCTTTTTGATTGAGGAGCCATTTTTATAAATTATGGCTGCTTAGAAAATATTATGGGAGTCACATTACTACACTAACCCATAGTTTAGTAAAAAAAAAAGCTGCATTCTATTCCTTCAAAGAGCCACGTGTCTACTGAGCCCTAGATTTCAGCTGAATAAAATAATAACATCACATGCAGGAAAACATAAAAGGCGAACAGTGGACTTGTAGTTTATAGTTTTCACTAGACTAATAGATAACTAATATGTTATATAGGGAGTTCATTTGTAAAAGCACAAAGCAACTATGAAGATGGTCCACCCGAAGAAATGTTTTTCGATTTATGATAGGCTATCTTGGCAAGCTAGTATATCAAGGACTTAAAATATGCTATGATTATCTCAAGACCATAAATTATAAATGTTAACATTTTCCCTATTGTACAAAAGAAAATGTAATCTATATTTATTTAATAATTAATCTTTTTAATACAGGTACCCTACAAAAAAGGGAATTTACAAAAAAAAAGTATTTTGTTTATTTTAGCCTCAAAGCATTTGTCAATGTTTTCAGATACTCTTATATTTCAGTCAACCCCAATTCCCAAATTTTTTAAATCAGAAACATTAACAAAAAATTATGATTTATCAATATTATTTCAAGTTCTTTCAATCTAATTTTAACTTACTCTTGCTTTGAGCTCAGTGTTCTCCTCTTGTAGCTGCTCACATTTTTGTCTGAGTTCTGTTACTTCCAATTTAAGGGCTTCTACATCAGCTGTCTCGGGTCCACATGCATTCAGATGCTGCTTTAAGAAACTTAAAATTGTCAAGGAATATAGTAAAGCAGACCTGTTTACCCTCAAACTCTTAAAATCGTACAATATCATCACAAAATAGTTACACACATTATCTTAATAGTAAAAAAATTTACATACAGTATATATAATGTATACACCTCAAAATTGTACATTGTACGCCAAAATCGTAAGAGTAAACAGGTCTGGTAGAATATCTGTTATTGTATTTCGAAATAATACATACCGGTATTTTCAATATTTAGGTACTGGTACAGGAAAATGTAGTTCGGATTGATTGCTTTTTAGTTAATTATAGTTCATACCAGTGGTACTCAATTATTTAAGAACACTCTTCCCCAAATTTATTTAACATGAGACAATAATCCTTTACAAACTACCTTAAATAAACAAGATTCTATGTTTACATTGGTGACTGGGTGCCAGATTTAATAATACTAGAATAGGAATGATAAGATCAGTTATAAATGTAGCCAAGTGAAGTTATATTGTGACACAAAACCAGCTGTAAAAATAATCCCTAGAAGTAGTAAAATCAATGACATTCTTTCTATGAAATCTTAAGTTGTAATTACTGGGCCATACTAAATTGGCCTTTATACTATACTATACCCATATAGCATTTGCCACAACATAAATCCTCTACAGAACTTGCTTTATTATGCAAATTGATTCTTTCATTATTTCATCATGAGAAAAAAGGATACTCCAATGCATTATTTGGTTTTTCTGGTTCTTCATACAGTGCTACCAGTACTGAAATAGAATTAAGTGTTTATATGTTTATTTTTTTTTTTTTAAATTACACTTTTAAAAGTTTATGGATTTTTTAAAAAAATGGGTTACACTACAGAAAATGCCTACCCTATAATCTCCAGCATGCCATTGCTTGGATCTTTGTGGCAGCCAAGCTTATAATTGGCAATGTTGATGATTGGTCAAATAAAATAGGCTATATCCCATTGAAGTTGGACAGAGCAATTAAAATAAGTGGATTTTTAGAGACAAGTTAATTTTTTTTAATGTACCCCGGTACCAGTATGTATATTTTGCAAATGACCAGGAATGGGGTGGTATGAGCAATGCTTTCTCTTACAATACCATACATTTTTTTTTTCAAATTCAACTCTGGATAGATCATAAACTTAAAGTACCGGTACCCATAATGTGGTGGTGCAGACATCACACAAACTGTGGCCAACCATACATTTTTGCCTTTTTTTCTCATGATGTGGTTAACTTGAGACCCAAGACCTGTCAGCCTCACCCCTTAAGTTTCTGCTCTTAAAAATTACCAAAAGCATGTCCACCATACCCACCCTTTTGAATTCTTCACCTGCATATAAAGATTATATTCTCCCTCCTTAATTGTTTAAACATGAAGGAAAATTTGAACCCAATTTTCATGAGGGAATGTGTCCAATTTGCTCCCAGAAAAAAAATAATTCTGGCCCATATCCCCCTAAATAGTAAAATTTCCACTTGCCCTGCAGCGTGTGGAATATTTACTATTGGCCCTTAACGAAAAAACATTTGCCAATCTCTGGAGTAGACCACTAAGAGTTACGTGAGCAGGAAAATAATTGACTTTTTAGTAATTAAACAATCACTAAAAAGAAAGTTTTCATATAAATCCTTTTATAATATCGAGCAATGCTGGGTGGGGTTGAAAATTCAACCAAACATCCATACCAGTAATGCACTTTATAAGAATCCCAATAAGTGGTGTGTGGCGTCGAGCCCCCCCCCCCCCTCCCCACTGCAATTGCACATATTCTTCATGTCCCTGAACTGTATCAATATTCTAGTGACCCACTCGCTTTTACATCACATATTTATTTCACCAACTATTTCAGAAAAAACAAAATAAAGTATTAAGCACAAAATGCACTTTCAAAACATTTTTTAAAAAGAATCTCATTTAGTGCTGTTATCAGTAATTTCATTACTATGTGTCAATTTTCAGCTCGATATATTGACTGGAAGTGGGTCAATTAGCCATCCGAAGATTTTGCCAGCCAGTCACGAACAACAGCGAATTTAATATAATTGATTTTTTATTTAAAAAAAAGATTATTTTGACTCTTAAGTGAATTTCTTACTTTTAGTGAGGATATCAACGATGCCTGCTTTTTCTAAGTATTTTCTAAATTCTTCCCTTTTGCAATCAGAAGGCTGAAAAGGAATTTAAAATAAAAAATTAACAAAATAAAAATGAAGAACACACCAGTTATTTATATAAATTTAGTCATTTCTATAAACTAGAGTGACCATTACAGTGAAACATCCTTGTAATAGCTATAAAGTGATGATTAGGGTCTATAAAGTTAATTAAATTAAATAAAAACAAATCACTTTAATATTGGGGTAGAGTTGATGCATGTTTTTTGGAAATCATGTCAGGACCTTGTTGTACCCAATTTCACATTATAGTGTGGGGGCATCATACTGGGGTTTTAGGAAAGTAGCACACAACAAAGGCAGCTAATGCTCTATATTCATTGACCAAATTCCATTTATTTTTATGTCATTTTTATATGTTGACAAGCATGTAAGAGGCCAAAGAATATCACTGGCACCATTGCAGCCATAGCCATGGCTTATTAACTCAAATATATATGATGTAATCATGGTAAATAGTCATTGGAGATGCCACTATTTTCTTAATGGCCGCCATCTTGGTTGACACCCAACGTGAAGTCACGTGAGGTGTCAACAAAATAATTCTCTAAAAATAAACAAAGGGAAGTGACTCTACCAAACATACGTCATGGCATCTCGAACGATTATTAGCCGTAATCATTGTCACAGCAGGCCATATCCAGGGGACGGGGAGTCATCATATTAATATTAGACCTCAAATTTAAACAAAAATTACCAGTACTTTCATATATTTACTGGATATTATCATAGCTAAAAGTCATGGATGAATTTCAATTTTTCTATTTTGAAGTACTGGTTACTGAAGGATGTAGACTGAATTTCAATAAATATTCAATTCAATTCCTTATTTAAGTCATAATAATAAATACTTTTTCACAACATCTATTTTAAAACACTTCACAAAAAAATGGATTGTTAGGAATCACCAGGGCCAAGGTGATTTCATAGTGACATGACTTTATATTGGGTAATACAATGAGGTCTTAAACGAGGCCTCTAGAAGGCCCTGCATAATTATATCCCAGTACCCTTATATTCTATCTAAATCAGTGTTTCCCAATGTGATGTGTACAATCCACAGGGGGGCAATTTGAAGATTATGGGGGCTCATTTAGTACTGATATCTGATAAAAGAAATGTATTTGCATTTTAATTTTAACAAGAAGATGTAAATTAACAATTTGTTAAAAGTTAACCACTGTTAAGGTTTGCTATTGATTGCAATACAAATATATTTCACTTATTGTATTTTTTTAGCTCTTCATTTGAGGTGAGTGGGGGATGTAGGAAGGGCGAAATAAACCTTTTTAGGTGCTTAGTCGAGGAGAGATTTTAAAAGTTTGAAAAACACTATTGAAAGTACATCATAAATTATAACTATGTCATGTCATATCATAGTTTATTATTTATGATATGTTATTTGTTGTACTGTAACCCTTAATATTTTTATTACAGGTACCTGGTAAATGTTTAGAAAATAAATTCTTCCCCCCCAGGGCCATGAAGGAATATGGGGGAATAGTCATTTTTCATATCATACAATATATCATATAATATCATACCGGTATATATAACTATATATATATACATGTCCATTTTTTGAGGGAAGAGAGCACCTAAATTAAGAGTTGATCGGCTGAACTGAAAGTTTTGCTTGCCACTGCTCTGCTTCCACCTAGTAGGCACTACCTCTACTAGTAAGTGTTAAACTTAAACCTAGCTACTAGTGCTAGCTGCTACTGCTGTTTTCAACCTACTATTTACTTATTAGTTATTTTATTTTATGACAATGACAACTCAACAAGTGTCCCCCAAGGCTCACAGAATTAATACAAGATTATAAATACAAATCTAACTAAACTTAGTTTTAATAATTTTTTTTAGATTTTAAGGGCATTTTTTAAACCTACAAATTCAAATTTTTATAATTAGTTAATAGTTCTAAGCCTAAGCCTAAGGCTAAGGCTAAGGCTTACTTTATTAAGTAAGTAATACTAACTAGGCCTATATTGATATAATTTAGGCCTATATATATTATTATGGTATAATTTAAGGTCAAGTTGGTATAATGCTACAAACATACTAGTAGTGAGCGATGCCTCTAAATCTAAATTGTCAAAATTAAAACAATTTTCTGAATTTTTCTTCCTAAAAATTAAAAAACGTATTTGAAATCCCATGGGGCGTGCGCGTATCCCTTATATTAAATTTGGTTAGGCCTTTACTTAGTCAAGTACTTGTAAACTGTAAATTCTAATAGAATTTCTTACTCACCCTGTAAGACGTCATTTTTTAATAACCAAATATAAAATTTAGCAACGGATAGAATTATCAATGGAGAAGATGACTATATTATTTACTCTGGAGAATTTCAGGTTGTCAGGGAACAAAATCTCGCAAACTCTCGTGAAACAGAATTACCGTTTTCTTTCCGGCGCCTCCAAAACTACTTTCAAAAATGCTATATCATTTTTAACAGAAATGTTTAAATCCAGAAGTAAAAAACCCTCATTAGTTCACCTCATTATGCACGGCTTTTCACAGAATTTTGGGACTCTAAACTTTAACTTAAACGAAAATTTGGACTTTATTGCAATTATATCATTATGCTTTTAAAGTTGATGCAAAATTATTAGGCCTATGCCTATATGCCTGTGCCTTTACTAATTAATACTAAGCAACTTTCTTGTTTTCAAAGATGCGGCAATCAAATTATGTGGAGACCATAACAAAACAATAATGAACAAAATAAATAAACACATAAATTGTAAATTAATTTGTTATAATTTTTCTTAAAGTAATAAGATCATATAATGTAGTGGGCGTGGTTAGGATTGAAAGTAGTCAAAAATTAATAGGCCTACTTTTTAAAAATTAAAATTAAAATAACGTAACTATTCAATTAATGAATCTATTAAAATAAAATAAAAAAATAAATAAAAAATAAAAAACAACCTAAGTAACAAGCGTCCAACTGAAAGTAAAGACACTTTTTATTAATTATAATTTCCTATTAAAGTAATTAACCACCAGGTCCACCACCTTTAAAAAAGAAAACGATTAAAAGCTACTGCGCCTGACATTTAGTACATTTAATACTTCATTTTAAAAATATAATAGTAAAAAGTAAAAATATGATGTAGTAATGAAACTTCCAATTGTACTGTAATAGAAATCGTAAAGGAAATGAAATAGTAATAGAACTGGTAGGCCTACATTAGGAACTGGCGTCAGCAAGCCATCGAAATTATAGCTCTTAATTTCTCTCCCCAAAGCACCCTCTCCCCACCCCCGCCCGAAAAGTCCCCCTAACTATTAGGCCGCGAAGCGGCACGTTGAAGATCTCCTCCTGCTAGGACAGCGAATGCTTACAAAATCCCCGACGGTATAATGACTAAGTTCTTTTTCCAGGCATTAGGCTATAAAGTAGAATGGTAACGAATAATGCTCGTCCGTTGATCAGAGTCTAATTACCGAAATACCCTGCCCCAACACCTTCCCCCATCCCACCCCAAACTCATAAATGGTTATTGTTGTTCAGATTTCCCCATCACTCACCATCCCACCCCTACCCCTCTGTTTACACAGAATACTGGAGACGTAACTCTCCAGCACATTGCAAGACTGAATCGATCGAGCGAAAGGGTCTCGTGCATTAAAAAAAACAACAAAAAAAAACAAACAAGATGGAAAAGCTAGTAGAAATTAGACAGAAATTCTTTTAAAATATCGTATTCACTTTGTTATTCTTGTGCGTCAGTTGAATTGTGGCTCTGAAGGAACCCAATAATTTATGTTAAGACCAGGGTCAAATGGCCAAAGAAGTTAAGGTCACAGTATTTGAAAAAAAACAACAACATAAGCTTATATTATATATTAATGGCTATTTTTTAACTTCCTGAAATATTACTGAATTTGCTTTCATATAACCAAAACTCTAGCTAACGTTGTCATTCCGACCGTCAATCCTGACTTGCTTAAAAAAAATCCATACAAAGTTTTAATGGATCTTTTGCGTCATATTTTATTTCGCTTGTTTGACTTTATATTTGACATTGTAGATGTTCAATTCTTTAACCACGACGTAATACAATGAGCTATCACTATCTATGGGCAATACATATATGTTTGTGCATATGATGGCTGTGCCGAGCCACAAAGAACATAACATTCAAGCATCATAATCATAGCTAGGAAAATTAGGGGGCAAACCCGTGATAAATTGTGGTTAAAGTCAAAGTCGCAGCGGTGGATTAACCAAAATCAAACAATGTCTTTGAACAGCAAACAACCAAGTGCTGGCGTAAAATAAAATGGTTGAAATGTTAAAAATTAAGTAGATTTATTGAACTAAGTCTTTTAATAAAAATGTTCTTAAATGGTATATTATAGGCTATAAAGTAGCACATGTAGCCTACTACATGGGGCCATGGAGGAAAACACGCCCCTCAATATGTTGGAGGGAAAAGTGTCGCCCCTCCCGCCCTTTACGCCACTGCTGATAAATTTTCATATGCTGGAGGTCCATGCATTATTTGAAAATTTCTTCTTAAATTAAAAAAAAAAAAAAGGCACACACAAATCCCAATAAGTTCAATAAGCCACCTTGAGAAGATAGCTGGACAATCGATTCTTAACTGAAAGGTATGTGGTATACATAAGCAGGCTATTTGATAAATTTTCATATGCTGGAGGTCCATGCATTATTTGAAAATTTCTTCTTAAATTAAAAAAAAAAAAAGGCACACACAAATCCCAATAAGTTCAATAAGCCACCTTGAGAAGATAGCTGGACAATCGATTCTTAACTGAAAGGTATGTGGTATACATAAGCAGGCTATATATAAACTATAAAATTCGTTTCTAATTCAAGAATTGAATAATCTATTTCTAGAATCTAGAGCTCAATAACCATATTTCAAACAAATGAATTATTTTTATTTATTTTTTATCTTAGTTGTTTATTTATTTTATTTATTAATTATTTTGTTTCAATTTGCCGCTCTATGTGCATGTGAAGAACAAGTTAACTACAACAATCTATTATAACAAATAGACTGTAATTCCAAAAACTGAAAGTAAAAAATTAGAAATCTTTTCAAACTTTTAAAACATTAAAAGCTCCCCTATCTTGGAGGAGAAAACCCAGTAGTGGCAACGATTTTGATAACTTGTCGGATCGACTACTACGTCTGCGTCTCTTAACATTTTTTCGATATTTAGTTTAAGACTTGCATGACCTTAGTGGAAATTGACAGGAGAATTGTAATATACATTAAGTGAAATCTGGAGAATGTTAGCAGTTACCAGACTATCTCTAATTCAAAATTCACTGCATAAATGTGTAAGTGAACAGTCTTTTACCTTTCGTTTGGAATAGTTCCTGTTAATAAAACTTTTTGATTCCCTGTGCCTGTGGCCTGTGGTGTGACTGTCTTTAGTCTTTAGTAAGATTGTATAGTATAGTACAGTAAGTACTGAGGCTGTAGTTTAGGTAGTGTAGTGTAAGTCAAGAGTTGCCAAGCTGTGCAGGTTTACTTATTAATTTCATTTTCAAGCCCCCTACTCAAGTTCAAGCCAAGTCACTTGTGTAAATTTGTACCAAATTTTGCCTGCCTAAACTAAGTCTAAGTCACAAGGGTATTTTAGTAGAACTAGGCATACATCACACTTACTGAACTTACTGATACTGTTTACTAAATTGATTGTTTTTTGTTTTGTTGAAATGGATAGGGGATGGCACTCTACTCTACAAAAAATCATATGAGGGCTAATGTGAAGAGATAGCACCCTGGTTCCGATAGGGTCAAAACCCTGGTTACTGATAGGGTCAAAACCCAAGTTAAGGATAAGTTTAGGGTTCAGGTTAGGTATAGGGATACATTTAGGATATAAGTTCGCTGGTCGCGGCAACCAAGGTAAAAAAACGCGGTGCTATCTCTTCACATTTACCCAAATAAGAATCCCTGCAGCAGAGCATGCCCTAACCTAAGCCTAACTGTCTAACTATTATATTAAAGGCTATTAACTATAATATTTAGATTAGCAAGAGCAAAGGAGAAAACACAATTTTCCCAGACATTTGCCTTCATTTGCATATTTATAAAATAGTCACTTCCAACCACACTGCATACTACTGCCTCTTAAATTTAACTATATTAAAATTAAAGCGCTTGATATGCACTGCTCACATTTATCATTATCATCTGATTATCAATCATTTTCAAGGGATTTTGTAATTGAAACCATATCCAAGTTTTAGTTTTACTATTAACCTATAACTTAGTACAGGGGTGGGCAAACATTTTCTATGTAGGGCCACATTGAAAACTTTATTGTCATCAAGGGGGTGGGGGGAGCATATATATATATTTTGTCTGCTTCATTAACAATTTACAACGTATGAACATATAAATTAATGATAATAACCTTGTATTTGTCATTTTATTTCACATTCAAGCTGTATTAGTATTAGTATTACACATTCACATGCACAATACATTTTAGAATATGAACTTTGGTAATAAGATAGTACTATTCATAATTATTTAAACAAAAGTTTATCGTCATCTATCATAATAATTATGAAGAAGAAGGAACTTAATTTACATACAATCTGACCACAGATTACAATTATAATTAATGACAAGTATGTAACTGTTCACAGTTTTGGATAATGTTCTTGAACTGTGGAACCAGTTTACTGGTTGTGATTCGCATGAATGCATTCAAATTGCAGTCAGTCACCATTAACCTGATCTTAGACTTGTTTATTTTCAGTCAAGAAAAAGCTTGCTCACAGATGTATGTGGAACCAAATAGTGACAAAAGTTTGACAGCAAAGTTTTTAAAGCGTGAAAATGCTGCTTCTGACAAAGATCCATAAAACTCCAGCAGAAGAATTGACTTGAACATCTCCTTCAGGTCATAATCTGCTTGAAATTCCACAACCAAGGCATCCAACTAAGCCTTGTACTTTTCAGCCATTCATTTCCAAAGAAATTGTTTTCTGTTTCAGCAAAAGGAAATGGCAAAACCTGTTTTCACCTGCTTGCCTGGAGAACAGGGAGAGATTTGCCTGAAATGATTTAACATGCACATAAATTTCATGTGCAAACAAGCTATTGCCCTGAAGTTTGACATTCAGTTCATTCATTGTTTCCATAATGTTGATGGCAAACATGAAGTCTGACTTCCACTCTCCATTAACAATCTTAATTTCAAAGTCACAATATACAGTGGAACCTCTCATAACGAGTTTAATGCGTTCCAGACTCTTACTCGTTAAGCGAAACACTCGTTAAACAAAACAATTTTTCCCATACAAATCAATGTAAAGTACGATAATGCGTTCCATGCTGAAAAAAATACTAATTTTTCAAAAATTTGATTAACATTTATTCAAATAAAATTACTTATGAATTGTTAAGGAGTGTAACAACTTGGAAGCAATTTAGATTTGAAACAAAAAACTTTAAAAAAAAAATGAATTTATGACAAATAATTAATCCTTTTTTAGAAAACTGTCTAAAGCCATTTGTTTTTGCCGACGCTTCAAAATTTGACGAAAATGTGTCACAGCATTGTCATTGAATAAATTTGTAGCACGAATAGCCACGCTCACACCTTGTTCTCACTTTTCAATGATTTTACGTTTCAATTCAACAGTTATTTTTTCTCTTTTGTGATTGTCTTCTTGTGTTTTTTTTTTCGAAGACATTTTAGCATAGGTTATTACACTTTGCACATAAAAAAATTACGAATACTGTCTGAATACAAAATTTGTACAAACTGGTAATCACACACGAAAACAATACGCTAACAGACTGAGTGCTAAACACAGGCTAATGCAATGGTTCTCAACCTTCCTAGTGCCATGACCCTTTAATACAGTTTCTCGTGTCTTGGCGACCCCCCAGCAACCTAATTATTTTTGTTGCTACTTCATAGCTGTAAGAATATATGTTTTCAGATAGTCTAAGGCGACCCCTGGGAAAGGGCCGCGCTACCCCCAAAGGGATCATGACCCACAGATTGAGAACCGCTGGACTAATGCATCGGTGCGGAAGCCCCGGCTCACAAATGAATGTCAGGAAAAAAGGACTTCCCCTTTCTGCGTAACTTGTTATTCGAAATATCGCTCGTTAAGGGAGCTATTTCTTCACATTTTTTTTTGCTCGTTATGAGAGGTGCTCGTTATGAGAGGTTCCACTGTATATGCTTCATCTCGAGCAACATAACTATTTCTTCCTTGAGATCCCACACTGGTCTCAATATCTTGCCCAGGCTCAGCCAGCGGACACTTGTAAAGAATATTAGAATGTTCAGTTTCCAAAGCAGTTTCCAGTTTCCTATTTCCCTGGCTCTGATGAGGTTTATAACACTGACAGCTGGGTCAATAACATGCTTGATAGTCAACACATCTTAACACAGACTTTCCTGATGGATGACACAGTGGAGATGTAAGAGTGTATGGTCAGGATGTTCTACTTTAATTTTATTATTCATCAACTTCACCAGACCTAAGTTTTTCCCAGTCAAAGATCAAGCTCCATCGGTTGTTACACTTGCCATCTTGTTCCACACCAACCCAGTTCTTTCACACAGTTCTTTCACACAGTTCTTAACAGCATTGAATAAATCCTGACCTGTGGTTGTGTCTTTTGAGTGACTCAACACTAATTAATGCTTCAATAAGCTCAAAATCAATGTTTATTCTTCTTGATAAAGAAATGCTGTCAAATTTTGTTTTCTGGACACATAATGTTTGCTGCATCTGACAAGCATTCCTTGATAAACTTGCAGACAGAAAAAGGCTTGTTACGTTTTACAATCTTATGGGACAGCACCAAACTAGCTTCGGTTGGGGCATCTTGTAACAAAGACTGTTTGATGAAAACAGTTTGCTGCTTCTTTGAATTGTTAACCAACTCTTGTTTTTTTTCTTTTGCCCTATTCGTTCGTTAAATTGTGCTAGAAATCCATATTTTTTGTTTGGTGATGTCTCTTTAAATTGTACTCTTTAAAGATGCTCAAAAATGCACGACACAGCAAGCAGACTGCTTTGCTCCCAGTACTTAGCAGTCCATTCGTTATTAAAAACACAACATTGGTCATTTTGGCAGCACTCATGGTTGAATCACGTCTATTCCCTTTCAAATTACAATTTTTACAAAACCTTTTTTAAAATGTAAACAAAAGCTACTTTTGGTTGAGCTGAAAGGCAGTTTCGAACAAAATGAACATCGACATAGGATCACAACATTTACGTGCCTACAGGCCATTTTGCCCATCCCTGACTTTAATGACTTTGTAAACTCAGCTTGAATATTAAGGTTCATTAAGTCTGGTGACGACAATCCCAGATGTATTGTAAGCGGCTACCTCATGGTTAACATGTCACAATAAGCCAAAGAGCAGATCGTAAATGAAATGAGAAGTTTCTTTGTTAAGCTAGTGATGATGAAACATGTTGGCTATTTCATTGATCTAATAATTTTTCATTCCAGGGTATCCTGGGGACAGTGCAAGTATGTCACTTATCAGAGGCAACACACAATGTAACAGTATGTATTGTTAAGGATTTTAAAGAATTTAGACCTAGACTATGCAAAGTTTTTATCACTTTTGAAAATAAGGCTTGATTATTCCCATCCGAGTTATAATAAAGAAATCCTAGGTTTATTTTACACAAATACTTAGTTTTCTGGATTAGAAAATAATTATTGTTAATAGCTATTGGGAGCTTGCAATGATAGTGATAGTTATTGTGTTGTGTAAAAAAACTTATCCCGGAGAGAGTTGTAGATGAGCCGGTGGGGTTGAAGCATAAACAATAAAATGGTAAATCAAAAAATGTGTGTGCACATAGAAAATCACTATACTCTCATATTTCTGCTGAGATTCCATCTGCCCATGATGGTTATTAGTTTGGAAAATAGCTAATTTTGTCTGAAGTTTATTTTTGAAAAATTATTACTTATACTAGCAAGTTACTGAGAATAAAAAAGTGACCAAACCCACATCCCATTCTTTTTTTCCCCCCACCCATTTCTATTTATCTGCGGATTGTCTTTTTATTGTGGTATATCAAAAAATAATTTTGCTTTATATTATTATTTGATGATTTAGCCTTATAAACTCCATCGCCTTGACCAAGGACCCAACACCACAGTGACTTATACAAGAGAGGATGCACTGAAATACTACAAGCAGATGCGAATGATAAGAGTTATGGAGACAACTGCTGGCAATTTGTACAAATCTAAAATTATAAGAGGCTTTTGTCATCTTTATTCTGGACAGGTCTGTATCCTCCAGCTACAAAATTTATGAAAATTCCAAGTCTATACAGAATATATTTTTCCCCAATTGATTTTAAATCTTTTTTCATTTTCAATCTACACCCATATTTGTATCTTATTGCCTGATTCTTGATACTGGTCTTTTGTATACTTATAGATTTAATATTTTCAAGTAGTGCTGATCCTAAAAAATAAATAAAAATAAAGTTTTTAATTTTCATAAATAAAATAAAGAAATGTGTTGTTATTAAAATAGTTCCTTTCCTTAATTTTGTTTTTAAAAAAAAGACTATTATTTTATATTATAGGAGGCGATTGCAGTGGGAATGGAAGCTGCGATTACTCCTGAAGATTCAGTCATAACTGCATACAGGGCCCATGGATGGACTTATGTTAGGGGAGTGTCAGTCCATGCTGTTCTTGCAGAGCTTACAGGTTCACAGTTTAACAATGATTAAATAGAGTATTTCAGTCCAGTGTTTTTGAAAAATATCTTTAAAAATAAACAATGAAATTAGGAGGAAATGCTTGACTTGTTTGGGATACATGGATTTCCTTTTAATCAAAAATGGTCCCTGCAATGAATAAGCAATTAGACCTCTCAGAAATGTTGTGCCCACTTTTTTTGATGGGGAGTATCTGATGAAAACATTGTGGAAGATATAACTTATCTAGAGTTTTTATGCATAAAAGCATACAAATACAAACAAAAATGAAGGTACAGAGGATGCGTTAGTTTAACAAGTTGCATTAAGACAAAGATGAGACGCCGGAAATTTCTGAGCGTTTGTCTGCAAATCTTTTTGTTTTAATTTAAATATGGTGGTGGGGGGGGGGGGGTTTAATAATTTTACCTGTGTCCAAATTGGGGGGTTCTTTGGGGCACACATTTTTTCATGTTTTTTGCAAGCTTCAATTATTTGTTAGAAATGGCCCTTTTTGTTTTTAATTTAAATAGGGGGGTGGGGGGGGGGGGGTTTAATAATTCTACCTGTGTCCAAATTGAGGGGTTCTTTGGGGCACACATTGTTTCATGTATTTTGCAAGCTTCAAATATTTGTTAGAAATGGCCCCGGAGATAAAAATGTGCATTGTGTTCCACTATATATGAATTAAGATTTAGAATGCCATATATTTTTATTTGAACGTGATATATTTTGTATCAAAGCATGTGGGGAAAGAGGTAATAAAAATATTAGGGTTGCACAGATTAATCTGCCCAGTGAACCTTACTTATCACGTCACAGCAGGGTTTCAATATACTAATGAAAAAATTTTTTCCCCAGGACGAAAGACAGGTTGTGCCAATGGTAAAGGTGGTTCTATGCATATGTATACCAAGAATTTCTATGGTGGCAATGGTATAGTGGGTGCACAGGTAATTAATAGTTTCACAGTGACACTTAAACTCATTGCTTTTAACATAGGCCTAACCTGAAGTCCATTGTAAAAAAAAAAAAAATTGCACTTATTGAATAACATCCAGTAGCCATTTTAGCATACCCTTTGATGCAATGGTGAAAAGTTTGTTGGTAAATAGAGCTTTTGCGCCTTTTGTGTTGTCTGGTAATTATGGTAGATCAGCCACGAAAGCAAAATACTGGGTAATGAGAAAAAAAACATGATGAATAATCTTTGTGTTACATTTATTTTCTGATTGGGTTTTGTTTTACCCACATACACACTATCCTCTTATTTGGTTTTACTTTAAGTGTTGAGAGAGAATGTGTATTTTTTTATTATAGCATTTAAGGGGATAATTGATAAATAGGAAATAAAATAATAAAACAACCAATACAATATAATAAGCCCAATGGTTTCTTCATCAATGAAAATGAGGATGGAACCTACCTAATAAAAATGATGTCTTTGAATTTTTCTCTGGGCATACAGACATTTGTCCTGAAATAAATAGTTTGTTAATGAAAATGTTTGCATCTCAAAAATGTGATTAAAAACAGGGCTTCAAGTGTTTGTTGCTGTTCATCCTTCGCATGTGAAGATTCTACTTAGAAACTTGAGATGTAAAAATGTGTTATTTAATTTATCGTGAAAGGAAGTAGAGCACAATTTAAGCTGAGACTGTAGCTGTCTGCCAAAATGAAGTTAAAAGCACACACAATTTTTACTGGTCTAGGGTAACTTTTGTTTTGAATGTTGAAAATAGCATAAATGTAATTGTTAAATAACTATAATAGTTAAATTTTCTTCATTACTGTAGGTTCCTTTAGGAGCTGGTATAGCGTTTGCACACAAATACAGACAAGAAGATAACATCTGCATTTCTCTCTATGGAGATGGTGCAGCCAACCAAGGACAACTTTTTGAAGCATTTAATATAGCAAAACTATGGAATCTCCCTTGTATTTTTGTGTGTGAAAATAATGGCTTTGGAATGGGCACATCAGCAGCTAGGGCATCAGCTTGCACTGATTACTACACTAGAGGAGATTATGTACCAGGACTCTGGGTTAGTTTCTTGATTACTACACTAGGGGCTGTTATGTACCAGGACTCTGGGTTAGTGTCTGATACCTAAACTAGGGGCGATTGTTAATGTCTGGATTACTACACTAGGGGCGATTATGTACCAGGACTCTGGTTTAGTATCTTGAATGATTAGTTCACTTGAGAATTATAAACTTTTTTTGACACCCACATCCTATGCGTAGTACAAATATTCATAGCCATGCTTTAAAAAAAAACAGTGATTCAAATTAAAAAGTACTTATTGTTAAGTTATCAAGAAACAGCTTGACCCGAAAGATGATTTAATTATTAATAAAAGGAATTGGCTATAATTCTGGTTAAACATTGGATTGGAAGTTGCTATCACAGCGTGTTTTTTTATCGGCTGCCACAGTGCAGAACGAGAATATCGGCCGACCACATTTCGTGGGTTAAATAGGCTAATTTATGGACTGTCAGAATTTCAATAGCAGAAGTTATGTATTATTGAAGTTTAGATACACATTCTGAAGACCACCCCCTTCCCCACAGAATCTTTAAAATCAACAATGCCCCACCTTCCCTCCTTCAGTGCGTACGATATATTTATATATGGATTGCCTCTTAAAATTTATTATATACATCCTCTTTCACAAGTAAGTCCATAATTGCAAACAAGTAATAAGCCTAAATTGGGTGATACAAATTATGGATGGTCCTTTATAAATATTTGCTAATTGACAAACTTCTTGGGAAATTTCTCTTTTTAAATTCATTTGTTGAGTTGCCAAAATATTGAGCATACAATTATACCATACGAAATTTCAGAAAACGGCTCATTTGGACAATGTTTGTAAAGAATGCCACCTTTTTTCATTGTCAGGTGGATGGTATGGATGTTCTTGGTGTGAAGGAGGCAACACGTTTCGCCAAAGATTATGTATTGAAAAATGGTCCAATTTTAATTGAGGCCTTTACCTACAGATATCATGGTCATAGTATGAGTGACCCTGGAACAAGGTATTTATTTTAAAAAATGTGATGTTGGTTTAAATTCTCACAGGTACATATTTATTTGAATTTAATACATTGTGAATATTTTTCCAGTCATACAAGGATGCAAGTAAGTGTTTTAACTTTTTAAAAAAATAACAGTATTTAAAACCTTTGCAGCTTGCAATTTGCATGTTACCCGGTAATTAAAATTTTATTTGAGAGCTGAGAATTAAAAGATTATTATTATTATTAAGGTGGTTTTTTATATAGCGAAGTACCCCAGTCTAGGGCTAGGCTCACTGCGCGTCACATAAAATTTAGCAATTGGTAAAAAGCTTGACCTCACCCACCCAAGTACTATCTACACCTGTCTACCCATGGACAACACCCAGCAGCATCAAGCATATCAGTTGAGGGGGGGGGGGGGGAGAATGAGGCGGTATAGTAGAGTTTGAAGGGATGTGTTTTGAAGGCAGTTTTGAAGGCTGGGGTGGTCGGTATAATGTGGAGGTGTAATGGGAGAGAATTCCATTGGTTGGGAGCTTCACATAAAATTTAGCAATTGGTAAAAAGCTTTACCTCACCCACCCAAGTACTATCTACACCTGTCTACCCATGGACAACACCCAGCAGCATCAAGCATATCAGTTGAGGGGGGGGGGGAGAGAATGAGTCGGTATAGTAGAGTTTGAAGAGATGTGTTTTGAAGGCAGTTTTGAAGGCTGGGATGGTCGGTATAATGTGGATGTGTAATGGGAGAGAATTCCATTGGTTGGGAGCACAGAAAGAGAAAGATTGTTCACCATATGTTTTAGTGCGTGTTTTGGGAACATAAAAAATATGCGTGTTAGCAGAGGAACGAAGCTTTCAAAGAGGTGAGTAGACAGAAAGACGTTCAATAAGAAAGGAAGGGCAGGAACCAGAGAAAAAGTTGTGACAGAGAAAAGACAGCTTGTAATCAAAACGTGCCTGTAAAGGGAGCCAATGGAGTAAGTGAAGTGGTGGAGTGACTTATCACGTTTCTTTGCCTTTAGAACTAACCTAGCAGCTGAGTTTTGAACTTTCTGCAGTTTTTCAATTAAATGTTTTGGTGAACCTGACAGTAGAGAGCTACAATAGTCAAGATGAGAGAGAACAAGATCACAGACTAGTGTTTTTGTTGCGCTAATTACATGATTTTCAAAATTAATTACTGGCCTACAATTTCTTTTGCTTGAGCTATGATAATGTTTTCTTTAATATTAATATTTGTACTCTAGTACTATGTACCAATAAATAGGAGGGCTTTACCCTGTACATGCTGTAGGAAGGAAAGTTCTTATCATTTCTTATTTTAGGCAATTTATTATTTTTTTCAACTTTTCTTTGAACTGAAATTAGTAAAATGTCACAAACCAATCTCACAGACCAGAATTTATTTTTGTTTTAAAAAAAATTAAATTCAGAATGAGAATTTTTTGGATGAGGGTAATTACTGTCTTACTGAATATGTAATTCAGTTACAGTAATTCTTTAGTGTTTCATTGCTCTTATCTACATTGACTAGAACTATCCATATTCTAGCACATTAGTCTGGTACGGGTATGTAATATTTACTAACAATGGGAATTCAATTTCACTAAACAATAGACAAAATGAAAAGCTTCCTATTATTATCAATTTCATGACTCGTTAAAGTATTGTTACTTCCATTGTCAAATGTAGTGCAAAAATGCGTTTCATTGAATTTAAAAATCAGTTGTGGCCATAGAATTATTTCACTTCAAAGGGTCTCTTCTCTGGGCTCATTTCTTTTATAGCAATTTTTGATAACTGTGTGTTAAAACATATAGTTTGGTACCGTACAGTGAGTGAGGTCTGCATACACTGCCAGAAACTCCACTTACACTTACATGAGACAAAGCTTGAAACCCAAAATTTCTCCAGCCACAGCTTTTGTGCAAGATAATGTCAGTGTCACAGAGTTTCATTGAAATAATTCACTTTTGATTCTCACATTTTGAAAAGCTTTTTGCCAAGAAAATCAAAAACATTGAGTTTAAATATTAATGATGGCAATTTTAACAAAACTTCAGTTTTGTTTCAAATATTAGATTGATTAACAGTTTGTCTAAATATAAATACAGGTTTGTAAGGCCAAAAATTGGTTATAAAAACATTTTTTTAATGATTGAATTCATTTAGGGCATTTACATGTTGTATTTAGTTAGTCTAAACATTAAAAAACCTCTTTTGGCTTCACAGTTATCGTACAAGAGAAGAGGTTCAAGAAGTTAGACAGACTCGTGACCCCATAGGAAAGTTTAAAGATGTCATCGTCAATTCTGGATTAGTCACAAATGCTGAGATTAAGGTAAGGAAAATTTCTTCCTTATCATTCAATTATTTCATTTATACAAAAAAATAAAGTTTTATAGGAATTTGTGTTTATTCTCACTATTTTGGTTACGTGTTACAACATAGAGAGGTATTTAAAAAGAATTAATCATAATGATTTATTCAAAAGTTATTTACATTTAATTCCTAATAGAAAATTGAAGATGATGTGAAAAAGGAAGTGGGAGATGCTGCTGAGCTTGCCAAGACAGATCCAGAGCTGCCACTAGAAGAATTATATTCACATATCTATATGAATCCACCTCAAGACATGAAAGTAAGAGGATGCGATGATACCGTTTTTGCATCAACAAAATAGTTATTTTTTCATGTTTGAATTTTTTTGTACCAACATTGAGGATTTCAGTTATCTTGAACAATGATATTGTGTCAGCCTTATGAATAATAAAAATAAATTGAAAGGTTATGACAAAAATAATTGAATTTAAAATCAAGACTTTCTGTGAAGGGATGACAATCTTGCTCATGTATTATGTATTAAAACAATGTTTACTTGCAATATAGTTTCCTTTGTTATTTCTAATTTGCATCCAGTTTTTTCTTTTAATATTCCAACTTTCAAATATTACATTGTCTTTATAAAGAGATATTTTAATTATTTTATAATGTGGTGTTATCTTTTTTAAACCTAGCACCCCTAATCCTTTAAATTTATTAATTTATCCAATTCGAAATAGTTTACTCCAAAAATTCAAACTAGACTAGTGAACCAATAACATGTATTTCAAATGGAATATGCCACATTTTAAGTAATATCTATTCTTGTCAGTAGACACTACAGTTCAATTCATTGTGTATTTCAATAGCAATTGTGAGGGTGCATGTCATCATCCATTGTAAGTCACTGTGTATTTCTAACATTAAGTAGTGGATTGCAGTTATTGGTGAATTACACTCAGTAAAGGGCCATCCATATAGCATGTACCCTCTCAGGGTTGTTGATTAATTAGATTTAGCACAAGTGTACAGAAAACCCTTGAAATACGATAATTATGTTGTTTTAATTGGCTATATATTATAAATAAATTGAAACTGGTACAGACATGGAAGTGAAGATATTCATTTGTTCGTATTTATTTTTAGGTTATTTAAAAAAAAAAAAAGAAGTTAAATACAATAATGGTTAAGATGTAATTTGAAGAATTAAAATAGTTTTTGTTATTTACCTGTATTTTTGTTCTTGTATTTTATATATATTTTTTTGTCAGTTGAAATATTCAACTCCACATTAATGATACATAAATTCTTTCACTACCCGATATCTGTAATCTTTTGGATACTACACTGTGCAGATGTTTAGGTTTTGGACAACCTATCTTTCAATACTTTCATCAATAATAATAATATAGCACTTTTGCTTCTACCATTTTTCTGCGTCATGGCAAACTTAATTTTGGAACTCGTTTCCATTTCTTTGTTGTTTGTTTTTTCTTGACTGCTGAAAAAGGTTTGTTTTTATTGTCCATTCTTTATCTTTTCATTTCAAGCTTCAACATACCTCATTCTGCCTTTCTTTATTTTTGCTCATCTAAGTGAAAATGATTAGAATGGGTATAAATTAGGATGTCTTGGCAGAAGAAAGTATGTACTTATACTTGTACACAAATTTCAACTATCCATAAAGGGGCTGTCTTTTTTAAATTAATATTTAAATTAGTATCCTACGCATGAAGGATTGGCAGACAAACACTGGAAACAATTCCAAACACTATCACACCTTTCAGTTTCAATCGGGTATATGTAATGACCAGGCTGGTTAGACAAGTGACCTTGGATTTATTCTAGGTGCCTGACATCGATTTTTTAAGAGGACCTCTTTTTACACAAAAAAATAATAACAGTCCAGCTTTTGACATCATCTGACCCTATCCGGAAATTTGTTTGAAAGAAATTTCGTCGACGGAAAATTGATTGACGGATATTTGATGGAATGGAAATTTGGTCAAATCTTTTTTCAGTTCACACGTTAAAATTTTACGTAAGATTTCTTTTTGAACGCATTATTTTCTTTTACTATATAGTATAGTGGATTCAAAAAGAAATTTAGACAAAAATTTTATCGTGTGAACTGAAAAAAGATTAGACCAAATTTCCATTTGATCAAATTTCCATCGTTCAATTTTCAGACGAAATTTCTTTCAAACAAATTTCCGGTAACCGATCCTGACATACTGTTTATAATTACTGCACAAAAGTGCACCATGCGAGAGTTTTATGCACTATTATTAAACATAGTAACTTATTCAACACAATATTTCCTTGTCCCAACCATCCTGTCCCAATTAGTTTTGCATAAGCGATGCTCTACTGAATTAACTGAATCTGCTCACACCACTGATAACAACCTTAATGGTATGGATTGGATATTGCTTATTTCCTCTCATACTAGCAGTCAATTTAAATGAGTTTTATTGCAAAGCCGCTAGGTGCCAATGCGAGGATAATTGTAACCATTAATTTCAGTGATACTTAAACCTTTTAGAATGATGGATGCCCTGCTCTTTTTTTTGATAGTCTGAATCTGTGCACCAGCAATTGAAATGCTTTAGGACCAACATCACCACGCTGAGATGCATTGCTCTAAACTGTACAATTGACTTGATGGGAAATCACTTTTACGTTCACTTTTGACTTCAAGGTACCCAATATTTAACTTACATTTTCAAAAACTTTTTATCAGAGTTGGGAAATAAAATTTAATGGTCATTCTAAAAGTCAAATGAGCACCCTGACATGGATAGACCTGTCTCACAACTCACTGGATGAGCTCTCCGCTCAGATAGGGATCATAAAGTACTGCATTAGATCCGTATTTGGGAGACCCAGATTCTCCAAATAACTTATTTTAAATTCCACTAAATTACAGTACACTTGTTTTTTTCATATTTCACCTTGCAACATTATTTGATTAAATTGCTTAACACAATCAATATTAACAATGGATTCACAAAACCATGTAATCACTGGTAGTATTATGGATTTATTATTATTTAATGACACATTATTATATAAACAGCTGTTTCAATATGAACAACTTGTCCTGTCAGGGGCATGTAAACCTAATAAGTAGACATAAGAATTAGAGACATGTCCTCAGACTTATCACTTAGAAGAAGGCACCTTTAACATCAATGGATGAGAGTTTCTTGTATTCAGCTTGAACTCCTATCTGGGAAGTTAGCTAAAGAAAGAGTTTAGAATTTACATATTTACATTTAAAAAACTAGAATTTACATAAGTCTTAAATTGAGAGAGAGCCTTGTCCTTCCTATTTCTATACAAAACAAAGATGTTTATGAAAGAAATATTGAGAACAATAAATGTTGCAGCTTTAATAACAAAATGAGACATTAAATTATTGTTTAAGCTGAATCCCTCCCTTTGTGAAAGCAACAATACAAAACACAAGAATATTAGACAAAACGAGAAGCTTACCTCAAGACTTAGGAAATAAAATAATTAAACACAAAGATCAAAAAGTATTGAACAAGTACAATCAAATAGACCTAATCACGTGTCCCAGTACAAAAAATAATAATATTTTAAAAGTTAGAGACTCCTTCAAGCTGTTTGAAAGAATTACTAAAGCAATGTATGTTGCAGCTTATAAGTAAGAAATAAAGTCAACAAAAATAAAACCATGATCTACAGGATATAAAAAAAAATCAAACCTGTTTGAACTTTCCTTGAATTTTATTTAAATGATCTGTTAGAGATTCATCATTTGGCTCAATTCTATGAATGATATTTGCTAGATTTATTATACTTTCACACACCCTTAGTATTCTGGAAAAGATAAAATTGAAATAGCGGTCAATATGGATGCCTTGATTTTGAAAAGAAACAAGAAATAACGCTACGCTAAGAATATTTCTAATTGAATGTAAATCAAGATAAATTTTGTTTTCAGAAGTTTGTAAAGCGAACTTTAAGTTTAAGAATAAGTGGAATTCCTCTCCAATATGTCTACCAAAAGAAAAAAAAGGACTTCTTAACTGGCTAAAGATTTTTTTAAAATTTTATCCGCCAGTCCAGAATGGGACTATTATATAGTATTTCATATGCTCCCTCAAAACTTTGTTTAATGAGCTATAATCAGATTATGTTCTATGATGATAAAAAGAAAAGTTTATTAATTTAAAAAAAATTAATTAAAGTTAACAGATTCCATTTATCTTTAGTTACTAAGACTACCAGAGCAAGAAATTAGCTGGTGCTAATGTTTCCAATTTACATTTTTGACAAGGGAAAAAGTGTTTTCTTATGTCTTAATTTATTACATGAATAAAACCATCTCAATGTACATGTAACGCAGTCACATAAATAAATTAATTGCATGTCATGAGAGAAAATTTTTATTTTGGATATGTGCACCACATTGTATTTTATAGGGCATCAGTATGTTAATAAGCCAAGCGTTTTCTTCATTAATTATTTATTTAGTTAACATATTCAAAATCCTAAATTTAATTATTAATCTCTACAACAAAATGAAAAAAATGTAATAAGGCCCTGAAATTTAAACTAACCTGTATTGGGCTCCAAAAAATCATTTAAATGCAACATATGCTTTTAACTCGGCTTCAATAGTAAATACTTTTTTCCTGTCTTATGGGCACAGCAATCTAAACACACTGACAGAAGACACACCTCACCTCCTATCAGTTCTACCATTTTTCATACAAATAACTAAAGACTTTCAAGACCTCACCTGGATTTAGATGTATCTTGATGAAGCATTTCTACCACATGTGCCGCATAACCAGCATAGAAACCAACCTATTTGAGTAGTAATAATAACAATGAATGTGCTCTATTTTTAATTTGCTTAAAAGTCCATTACATTTATTATTCAGGAATAACATATAATTTATAATATAAGTGTAAGCAATTAAATTTGATTCAATTTCCAATGCAATACCCAAATTTAATAGAGTATTATTTGTGCATAATTATTTTATAAATAATTAAAAAGTATCAAATGAACCCCCAAAAAGCTGCAGATTTTAGCTTTTGTTTCTTCTGTGATAAAACTTACCAACGTTAATGACAAATTTTACTAGATATTAGTAGTAGCTGAATTCAGAATATGTCAAAAATAAAAGCTGCCGTATAAGTATAAAGCAATTACTATGCAAATAACTTTTTCTAAATTGACCTTATCTTGAAGCGAATTAGTTACTTTACTTGCTGCTGTTCGGTACATAGGAGTTGTATAGAAAAATGTATGTTTGTAATTTTTTATGCTTTTATGACACTGCTGCCCATGTTGACTTAAGTATCCAAATATTTAGTTACTGGTAATTTAATTGAAACTTAATGGTACCTCATTTCCAATATCAGAGCCTTTTTGAACTCCGAGGTGATATCCTTCAAGATAACCTATTTTTTCCCCTTCAATCAATCCTGCACTGTGACCTTCCAGCCATGATCTGACAAAATATTAGGAAAGCGACAATTAACATCTGTTTGTTTAAAAGACAGAAAAATAAGAAAATTATTATGAAAAATTACCCGGAATGTGAAATGTAAGGCAAAACTTACACTTCCTCCGTCATAGTAACAGAATGGAATATATCCTCATGTTGATTTTGATTTAAGTCTTGAGTCATTGCCATACTGAAAATTTATAGGGTGAGTAATAGTCAATATGATATTAATTTATTAATTTCTTTACAGTCTGCATTTTTAAAATAAAAATGTTTATACTTATCTCAAACTTTTGAAAAATGAGGTAAATGAGTAGCCTAAAACATTCACAATTAATATTATAATGCAAAAGAAATTAAATTTTTCAAATAATTACAATTCACATATGATATCTACAAGACTGTACAATATTTGTAATTTTTTTAAAAGTAAAAAATTAAAAATCATCAATAGGCCTGATCACTTTGCAATTATAATTAAAAGTATTGAAAATACAAGTTATTAGGCATATTATTATTTATTATTATCATTAGAATCAGTATAACTCAAACTCTTCACATTTAGTAACCATTAAATATTAAAAATTTAATTTAATAAGCCTAAGTTTTTTAAAGTAGTTATTTCTAGAATCTAGAGACAAAGTATTTATGATTATTTTACCAGGGCTAAACTGGTTCTATAGGCCTAAATCGGCCAAATGAACATATTTATAATTAATACGCTTATTAAATATGTTATTTTTTTAAAGATAAAAGATGGGCCACCTTATTTTAAAGTCTTTAAAACAGAGGGATGTGAATTATGATAATATTTGATTCAGATAAGCTCACCCACTTCTTGTAATGTATTTTGAAATGCTTGTCTTCCCCAGGAAAAATGATATCATACAGTCTTAGCTGTGGTTAGATAAAAAAAATATTGTGTTAGGTTCAAATTGACAAATGGCTGAAGATCTTCATTAAAAGAACAGAATTATTGTAAGAACTGACAAATTAGTCAAATTGTAGGACAGTTGCATTATTACACTGATTGGAAGTATGTCTAAAAAGGAGTATAAATTTTAAAATTCTACACTACTCCATTCCATACTTAAAAACGTAACCCTTAATACTTAATCAGGGCTGTACTTAAATACAGGCAAAGCAGAGAACTGCCTGGAGTGCCGAATTCTAGTGGCGTCATTTTGATCCCAAAAATTGGCATTGTAAGTACTGTACTAGAAATATTTTGCAACCATAAAATTGTATTATTTATATTTTTGTAAAAATTAGGGTAAATTATTACATTCATTGAGGCACTTATGGTCGTGGCAAATTGTTAATTGTGAACTTGTCCTAAGAAGGATGCTCGCTATATCATCACCCCCCTCCTCCCACATTTTCTAAACTCCTGTGGTAGGTACATTGACGCACTGGCAGATTACAGGGCTTTTTTGTTGTTTAGGGTAACAACACTATGCTAGGGTATATTTTTTTTCCACACTGCTGATATGACAAGGAATAAAAACACCAGGTTGAAAATACTTAAGTTATTTATTTACACGACCACACTTCATTTTCACAAGTTTACAAAAATGTCCTAAATACTACTCTTGTAACACTAATTAACCAGGACTACCACTTCTCACACTATAACGATGACTACAAAAACTCCCAACATAACTAACTCATGCCCCATGTTCACATATCATTTCAACACCTCACTTGATTACACTCCATCAATTACATAACTAGCCCTAAGTAAACAATTCAAATCCACAACCCAACCATTCTCACAAAACCAGCTCATAACAATAACACACATTTAAAATGGGGGGAAGGGTGATTGGAATGCGTAGAAATAAGACTGTTGTCACACACAAAAGAAAGTGAAGATTGCGCAGTCATTATTAGTATATTTAATTTAATTGTTATTTTAAGTAATTTTTTTTCTTTAGTCATTAATTTTGTTTTTAAGAAAGGATTTTAAAAGTTATCAGACTTTTGGAATAAGCACAAGCATTGTTAAATACATTCATAGACAAAGGTTTTCAGGACACAAAGATTAGAGCAATGGAACTTGCAGAAACTATTGATGAACCAGTTTTTCAACTTACAGCAAAAATTACAGTTCTTCATAAGGATTTAAAATACAGAGTTATTTTCAATAAAATCTAAACAAGTCAGTTTGGATATAATCTTTTGAAAATCCTGAAACCAGTATTTGTGTTGAAATTTTAAATGTCTTAGTTGATACTGCTATTAATTTTTTGACAGAACATCTTTGAAGAAATGAAACAACATAGTAGCAATTTTTAAATTGATATTGAATACAATCATGTTGAAAGGAATTGTTGAAAATATGGAAATATTTACACCATCTCCGAACCAATAGGAAATTCTCAGACATTGATGGATTTAAATTAGGTGAATAAATACTTTCTATTGTACATAGGCTGCCATGTAAGAAATCCCCTCTGAATGTTCTGAAATTAGAAGGAATTTTTTTGTCCTTTGTCACATCTTTGGCTATGCTGTCTATTGAAAACTACCTGTTAACTAGATTATGGAGATGGCATCAGCGCTTTTGCTACCACAAAAGCCAGAAAAATTTGCTTGAAGAATTTAATTCTTTTCAATGCAAAAATTGTTTAGTAATTGCATGCTGAAAGTCAGAATTGTTTCTTTCTATAGTAGCTACACCTTTTCAATATAGCCAAATAGCTATTTTAAATCAAGCGTTTTTAATAAGGCATAATAGCCATTTTAAATTCAAACATGTTATATTTAAATGCTCTATATTAAACTAGATAACTATGTTTTATTGTTAATAATTATAATGACATTATAAATGTACTTAGTTGTCAGAATAAGGCTGCTATTTTAGGAATTTGTTCTTTTGTATTCTCACCTTTAAAAATTGTTAACACTTACTGATACTGACTTAGACTCAATACCGACATGAAAAATTATTTTTATAGTTCAATTAAGTTTAGAAATTTTATGAGAGAATGCCTAAACATTTAATCCAATCTTCTTTACTGAATCAATAATAGTTTATTAATTTTAATAATTATTTATAGAATGAAGGAGGTAGGAAGGGTACCAAAATCTAGAACTGCCTGGGGTGCCAAATTGCAAAGGAATTGTTGAAAATATGGAAATATTTACACCATCTCCGAACCAATAGGAAATTCTCAGACATTGATGGACCCTGTGCTTAATTACTAAAACTTTTAATTTTGCTAAAAAGATTTGCTTGCAGTGCCTTGCTAATTTAATTTATAAATTAGTACAATGTAATTTTTAGTCTTATTTAAGTTATTTATGTAGGCCTATCCTATGCCTATAGTAGGTACTTTGACACAAAATTTAAATATTGTCCAATTGCCATGAATGATACATCATTTTAAAGGGCTAGCTATAAGCTTTACAACAACACCAATTTCATCTTTCTATCTTTTGTAGAAGTGGAGTTATGATTTTTTTAGTGATTTTTTAAAACCCTCTTCTTTATCTTTGTATTTAACTGTGAAAATGTGTGACCCACTTTCCAAATTTCTGCCTTATTTTGCCCAAAACTTTTTTATTTTAAAAGATAATGCTACCAAATTTTCAGGAGACATTCTTAATGCAACATACAACACAATGAACAAAAAAAACTTTTAAATAACATCAGTACTTTCTATTTTAAATTGTTTTATTTAAGGGTATGTTAAGAAAAATGTGAACAGAAAAAATGGAAAAATCAATACCGATACTAACAAAGAAAAAAAAATAACTTGTTTATTGGATTTGAACTAATTATATGCTTGTGTTAAATTTTAAATAAATTCTTATAATTATAAAAAGGTAAGTAGTTTTTTTTTCTCTCTGCATGTAATGTAATTATTAATTATAAATAAAAATTACTCAAAACCATTTTTTTTATCTACATTCAAACGTGCCTCCTTGTTCTTTGATGGAATGGAAGGAATTCCACCGAGTTCTGCAATAGAAAATTTTCTCTTTTATCTGAAAAAAGCCTAGAAAAACATCTTAATAATTTCAATCATATAATATAAGTTAGTATGCTAAACGAAATTTTCAAACTAAGCATGTTCACAAAAAAGAATGAAATACTAGATTCTTCATTACGCACAAGCGCCCCCCCCAACTTTCTTTTTTTCCCCTCTCAGAGAGCTCGGAATATAGGGGTTGTCCTTTGAAGTCGAGTCGGGGAAAGGGGGGGGGCAGATTAGAAGTGGATCACTGACTAAGCAGTGGACACACACATCATCATTGTCCTGGACCTGGTGTGAAGCTGATCACCCTGAAGGCTGCTAATACGCTGTCCGTGATTGGTCAGCTCTAATTTGAGCACCCCCTCCTCTTTTTTCGTATGCAAATGCGCTTATTACTGGTGACTGATTTGCGCTGAGTAAAGTGAGGGCTAGAGATTATTTTTTTTATATTATAAGA